ATTGCGCGCCGTAATTTGGCGCTCTCTACAAAAACCCTAATTAAGCCCCACACCTAAGCCGTCAAGCTTCAACCCTACAGCGTCATCCCCAAACCCTAAACTCTAGACCCTAAACCCTACAGTGTCATCCCCAAACCCTAAACCCTCATCCCCAACAAGAAAAACCTCTCAGCCCGTCATCCCAAGCTTTCAACCCTAAACCCTACACCCCAGAGTGGGGAACAGAGCCGAAACTCTAAACCCTAAACCAAAGAGCTTTGAGGGAAGAGACCTTAAGCCCTAAATCCTAAACCCCAGAGCTTTGAGGGAATAGACCCTAAACTCTAAACCCTAAACCCCTAAACCCGAAATCCCCCCTGCCAGGACGGACCCTGCAGAGCCCACGCAGTCCCAGCCGGACGCGGATGAGCCTCGAAAAAGCGGCTGCAGTCTCCTGGCCCGTTTAGGGTTTAGGCCAATGGAAAAGCTGGGCCCTAAACCCGAAACCCTGAACCCCTAAACCCCTAACCCTATACCCTAAACCCAAGCTCAACGTTTAGGGCTTTAAGGGTTTGGGATTTAGGGTTTGGGGTTTAGGCTTAGGGAGATTATTTGGGGTTTGGTTTGGGGTTGGACCCCAGCCCCTTAAGACGAAGCAATGAACCCTAAGCGCCAAGACTCTTAGGCCCAGACGCGAGACCCAAAGGTGTAGAGTTTAGGGTTTCGGGTTTAGGGTTCAGGGTTTAGGGTTTAGGGATTAGGGTTGAGGGTTTAGGGTTTAGGGTTTAGGGTGTAGAGGGGTCGGATTGGGAGCCATGTGTAGTTCCTACATAGAGCCTAAACCCTAAACCCTAAACCCTAAACCCCTAAACCCTAAACCCTAAGCCCTTAACCGTTTGCAAAACCCAAGAGTCTGGCCCCTAATATTGCCGTTTCGCTTCAGCATGACAGATAATTACTGTCATACTCTTCAATGTTGGTTGGGGGGTTACCAGTTTCTCGTTTTATACTTCCCTATAGAAAATTTACTGTCGCTGGGTACAATATGATATAAAAAATATAAGTAGAAGTAGAAGTAAAAACATAAGCGCAAGCATAAGTTCAAGTATAAGTCTAAGTGTACGTTCAAAGGTAAGCGTAAGTGTAAGTCTAAGTGCAAGTGCAACTGTAAGTGTACCTGTAAGTAGAAGTATAAGTATAACCATCACCATGAATAAGCATAAGTATAAGTGTAGTATCTATAGTATATGTATACGGTCCTAAATCCAGAACAGGTTAACCAGAGCAGGAACTACATCCGTGCTAGGTTCCCTTGCAACTTAGTGAACCGAAGATACCCTAAACCCTAAACACTAAGCCCTCTAAGCCCTAAGCCCGAAACCCTAAACCCTAAACCCAAAGCCCTCTAAGCCCTGAGCCCTAAGCCCTAAAACCCTCCTCCCTTGGCTGTTGAGCCAAGAGGCTTGCGCCTGCTTCTGGCAGCTCTTCGTCACGAGTGCCGTAACCACGGGCGTGGAGGAGAGCTCGCGTGAGAGGGTCTTACTCAGAATTTTTGGTTTAGGGTTTAGGGTTTAGGGTTTAGGGTTAATCACGGTCCCTTTTTGGGTCCCCAATATGGTAACCCTAAACCAAACCCCAAAACGTTGGGATCCTAAACCCTACAGCACCAAAGCCGAAAACCCTGAACCCTAAACCAACCCAAACCCTTAACCCTCAAGCCTCAACTAGCCGTAACCCTAAACCCCCTAAGCCGTAGACCCTTCAAGAGGTCTACACCATAAGTAAAGAGACGCCTTCACCCTGAACCCGAAATCTGTGACCCTAAACCCTAAAGCCACAACCCTATATACCCTTAAAGAGGTCTAGGCCATCAGCTTTTATACCACCTACTATAGTCCCTATATATTGTTATAAGGATCCCTATGTAAGGCCCCTCAAAACAGAAACCCTCAGCCCTAAACCCTAAACCCTATATACATTGAAGAGGTCTACACCATCAACCCTAAACCCTAAACCCTAAACCCTAAACCCTAAACCCTAAACCCTACAAACCCTTGAAGAGGTCTACACCATCAACTTATATTATATACTACCTACCTAATATAGCTCCTCCCTTCAAAGCAGAAATCCTAAGCCCTAAACCCTAAAATCTATGTACCCTTGAAGAGGTCACACCATCAACCCTAAACCCTAAACCCTAAACCCTAAACCCTATATAGCCTTGCAAGAGGTCTACACCATCAACGTGGCCCGTCAAAGACTTGGCTGGTCCATCGCCTCCGCTGCGTGGTATGTGGCTCTGGCGACTGGGTCTCTTGCGTTCTTGCCAAGGATACCTCTTTACGGACCCTAAACCCTAAACCCTAAACCCTAAAACGGGACTATAGGGTTTAGGGTGTAGGGTTTGGGGTTTAGGGCTTAGGGTTTAGGATTTAGGCGGTTTTTGCTAAGTAGACCTCCTTAAGGGAATATATGGTTTAGGGTTTAGGATATAAGTACGGCTTCGGGTTTAGGCT